ATTATAGTCAATGGAGAGCGAAAAGTACGTGGCTACTGTCTCGAAGCATTTGCCAGAAAGTAACCGCCTTCACATCATCGAAACCATGTTTAAAATATCCGGAAAGTGACAGTGGACTTTGATGAGTACTGTTGGAACGACACCTGACCAAATCGAATACGTGCTGACGGAAACAAGGCGGGTGATAAATTGTGTGTCTGACTTTATAATTCTGCTCTAAAGTCTTAGTCGATGTTTCTGAAGAAGATTGGGTTCGAAAGACTGAAAAACCATTGATAATTCGATTCTAAAGCTTTCGAAGAGAATCTTATTCAACTGAGCCTCGTAGTCTACATCAGCTGAGGTATTGATGCAGATTACCAGCACCTCCTCGATATCATCAAATCTGTTATCTTTCATTCAGCAGGTCTGCAATTACGCGAGGAAATAGCGCACCAGCCCTACAACGAGGCTGTTGTTGGCCAAAAGAGCCGGACTGAGGAGTTATGGGCAGTTGAACGATGAGTACGCTGCACTGTGTAGATAAATACGGAAGATTACAGAGGACTCTAATGAGTGCATGAGAACGAAGCGAAAAATATATTGAAAGACGAATAGCCTAAAGTCCGCTGTAAGCGACAAAAAAACGGATTCACGTAGCACTGACGGACGAATGTGCATCAAGAACCACAGATCGCTGTCGCATAAAATTGATCTCAACTAGGTTCTGCCACAACCTCTACTTCTGAAAAGTACAGGTAGGCCGGAAGCTGTAGCACATTGCCCCGGAAACCGTTTCCGATGTCAAGTGGAATGAAGTAGAATGGAATGTCAAAAATGGCGGATCTCATGGCAGGTAGGCATATAACCATAATATCCGGAGGTCAGGAGGTCAGCCGCTATTCAACGCCCTTGCCGAACGATTTACAAACTGCATCGGGTTGAAGAAGACGTCAAAAGATATTAAAGAGCGTAATACATTTTGTTTTACTCGTTTGGAATTAAATTCACGAAGTGGCTGGCTTTCGTATTAAGCAAGACGTTTCCATCAGGTCATTTTGTCATCGTATACTTTCTCAAATGGGTCTATCCAAAGAGTCACCTGATTTCCGTAGTTTCGTTTACCAACGCAGTTAGACGGGGAACCGGTCGTCCTACCATCAAATCTATTACGGCAGTTGAGGGGTATATAACATCGTTAGTTTAAACACATAATCATGGTTAAATGCCAGGACTGGGTATGGAATGACTCTGATTCTTTTTTGATGGTGATTGCCTTTTGTCCATTGGAAGATTGAGCAGATGAAGACGATAGTATTGGGCAAACTGGTTTGGCATGAACCAGTTGATCCAGTCCGTGTGCTTCTCGTGTAGGAATCGAAGCTTGTCCGATGTCGACCAGGAGAGCGAAATACTACTTGGGTCAACTAGATCAGAAGGGCAGATCTGTTGTAAGAGGGATGCTTCCTTCCACGATGCATTAACCGGTGCATTACGGCAAAAAGTTGAAAAATATGGTTGAAACAAGTACAATGAATCACAGACCTTGCCTTGATCACAATGAATATCAGCAATGGCATTAGCCAACATTTCCTCCCTTCGTCATCTTCATAGGTATCAAGGTCACTCTGATGACTGTAGTTCCCCTTGCTTTATGTTGACATACGTTTTCTTAATTGATCGCCGCAGTTCTCCGCCACAGCTGTAATGCATATTATCTAAGATACTGTTGAATAGGCGTACTGAATGCATGCTAGAGCATGTGCGTGCAATAGGGGTTTATGCATAGAAATAGTATGTGTTTGTCTTTTTGCGGTACATTACGCAGTTTTGTTGTTTACTGCGGTCCAACTTTTATGAATAGATAGAAGCTGGTGGAAATTCACCATTTGTTCATACAGATAATGCACTGCAGATGATTATCTCTGGTCCTTTCACCCTTAGTGATCATACAGTATTTTTTCTACTACAAATATGATTTTGTATATTAATTATATGTAGCAGAGTATATGATATTACGTATCATGCCATAGTTTTTTTCATCGTTCCATTCATTTAGACTATCAAAGCCCTTAGTTACCTGAAAGACAAGCTCAATATTATTCACCGTGGTATGTAAGTTTTGATTTTTTTGCAATTTTTTTTTCATTTTTAATATCTTAATTGTTTTCGTTGCTGATTTCGGTGGTCTTCAGAAAACGACGATTTGTTCGTAATAAAGTTTTGTTCTCTTCCTGATTCTCTGAGAACAGCTGCTGTTTGTGTGCTATGATGGGCTGTTTTACTATTTTATATAGTTTGACCTGTGTTAACTTGATATGTATTTTTATATCTTGGTATATATCTTGGTGTTACCTTTCTACTTTGTTTTTTATAACGTTTAAACTTGAGCCTTTTATTGTAGACGTGAAGCCTAGCAACATTTTGTTGAATAAAGAAGGCCGCATTAAACTCTGTGATTTTGGAATAGCCGGCTATTTGGTTGACTCGATAGCGAAGTCAAACGACGTCGGTTGCAAACCGTACATGGCGGTAAGAATTTAAAGATCGGTTTTTGTCAAATAGTTCTATGGCTATTTACTTAGCTAGTTATGTTGAGGTCGCCCAAGTAAAAGAGGGCGAGGTCTTGCTGTCGGTACGTAATTCTGGGTACCAGAAAACAAATACTAGCCGCTCCTAATTACTACCTTCAATCTAAAACAGATAAAGTGTATTTCCCGGTTTTCTTTGAAAATTGTCCAGTGGTCCGAAGAGGTGCAGTAGTCCGATGGTTCGGAGAAGTGAAGATATGATAGCTGGTTGAATGCCGGACTCAGTGTCGAAAGATCGCTTATCGCCATTTCGAGTCCTAAACGCCTCTCATTAGTTTTGAGTTAGGTAAATGACTTCCGCTTTGTAATAAAGGACACAGGGCGGATGGACGTTGTTCTTAAAATATGGCTTTAGCATTGCCTTTAGAATAAGGCGCTCTTGACTGGTTTGATGTGAAAGGTGATCCTCACACGATAAGCTCAGTGAAAAACAGTTGCACGTATTAAAGGTATAATATCGTATCGGGTTCAGTGGCCTGTCGGGTTCAGTGGCCCTTAATTTTTATCATGTAAGTAATTTAGTGTCGTTACGCAGGAAAAAAGCAGTTGTCTGCATCGTCGTCTTCTGGTTGTACATAATGGCTTAAGTAAATAAGCTTCCCCTGTCTAAAGACACCTTTGGAAGGACTAATGTTCAAGATCGTTACACAAATGTGGCCAAGAAGCATTACTCGCTATCCTCCTATGTCTATTCCGTCTTGTAACTGTTAGATATACCTCTCAGTTGCATTGGCAGGACGATAAATCTTCAACTTGATAGAAGTTCGCCAATGAAATCCTTCATTTATCTCTGTTCATATGAGGAGACATGCCGGTGTCCGTTCTTGCTGTGGCAAATATGCTCTCTTTCAGCTTTCGCTCCCCAAGTAAATACAGCAAGCAGGAAAGACAGTGCAACTGTTTTGATGTCGGTTTCCCTTTCATGATTGGGCACAGATTGTGGCGCAGTTATTTCATGAAGCTGATGTTGCGGTCACAGTCTTCATTTCTATAGCTCAGCGAGGAGTGCTGTATTCTGAAGGTACACTTGCAGCTCAGTAACCAGCGAGCATAGTGTTTCAAGGGGCTCTAAACTAGGGCCTCTCAACGCTGTTTCTGATTCTAACGCTCTGCCCACTGAGCACCCAAAAGTCGATGCGCGATTAAACAGAGTTTATGGCAATTCTCTTTTCACGAACTAGCCAATAACTCGGTGGCATGAGGTTCCTCCTGTATATGTGCTCCTGACTGACTCTTTGACGGATTCGTAACAGAGACCAGCGCGAA